TCACATACACTGGCCTCTGTAGTAATCATCAAACCGGCCACCGAGGCCGCATCAACCACACATGATGAGACTACTTTGGCAGGGTCAATAATGCCTTCCTCAAACATGTCAACGTACCGAGCATTTTGAGCATCATAGCCCATACAACAGTCATTATACTCTGCAACATTCTCCACAGTGACAGCACCCTCTTCACCTGCGTTTTCGCTGATACGTTTCATCGGGAGACGTGCCGCATTTCGCATAATAATGATGCCTGTACGCTGATCCTGCTCCATTTCCTCGTCAGCTTGAAGAATCTTATCCAGTTCCTTGGAGGCATGAAGAAGAGCGGTTCCACCACTTGCAACAATTCCCTCTGCCAAGGCATTACGAGAAGCATTAAGCGCATCAATCACACGATCTTTGGACCCGCTGATCTGCAAGGACAAATGCCCGCCCACACGAATAACAGCAAAGGTTTGATTCAACTTTGAGATTTGCTCACGGAGTTTCTCCCTCACCTCCTCGGTTATGGCACGATTCAATCGACCCTGTAGGAGGCGTCCACGTGGAGCAGGTTCTACCAGTCCGGTAATGGTGGTGCTATCCATGGTTTGTTTCATACGTTTTGCACCCCCCAAAGAGACAGGTTACATCATCTACGAGGCCGATTGAGGCAACCTTTTCTACAACACAATCACGGCACACGGCAAGATCGTGTAGCTTCTACTCTGAAAGCTCAGGCGCACACACCACACCGCACAACACCACATTGTGTACGTGATTGTGATAGATGGTTTGCAGCACCGATTCAGAAAAACCAGGTGCGACAACAACAAGAGATTTACCGTTTGTTTTGGCTGTCTCCAAGAGTCGCAGAACATCTCCAACCATCTCCAACTTGCGTGTGGTTATAAACACAAACGGGGATTCAAGGCGACTCTCGAGCTCGGAAGAATTGGTCACCAGCGCACCAGAGAGAAATCCATGCTCCGTACTTCAACCATCGTAGCGCTTCCACTCCGTTACCGCAGCATTTCCATCCACAACGGCAATGTATCCATTTACACCAACTTCCTGTACAACAGAGGCGATGAGCTGGACCAGGTCTCGTTCTCCATTGGCACTAATGGTTGCCACATTCTCTAGCATAGTCATGTCCTTCACAGGACGCCGTTGCTTTTGTAGGCTTTTGAGAATGACCTCAAAAGCGAAGCCAATGCCATGCTTGAGATCCATGGGGTTGGCGCCTGTGGCCACACTCTTGTGGCCCTCCGCGAAAATACTCCAAACCAGAATAGTCGCCGTGGTGGTGCTGTCACCTGCAACGTCATTTGTCTTGACAGCCACCTGCCGAATTAAGCGGGCGCCGACGTCCTCGAACTAGTCGTTAAACTCGACAGAGCGTGCCACTGTTACTCCGTCTTTTGTGATCTTTGGTTCACCTGTTGCACGACGGATAATGACGTTTCGCCCCTTTGGACCAAGCGTCACACCAACGGCAGTGGTGATGCGTTCAATGCCGCTCAGCATACGCTCCCTCGCTTCACCACCAAACTGAATCGTCTTCCCACGGGCCCCCGCAACACGCCCAGAAAGGCGCAGCATGGCCTCGCTTTGCAATTCCCTCCTTCCCTTTTTTCCGACTATTCCGTAGGTGAGTGGGCTGTGAATCTTTTCAATGCGCTGCTTGGGCTCACACACCTTTACAGTAGACAAAAAAAAAAAAGGAAGCCGCAGTGAAAAAAGGCAATACCTCTTCAGACACAAGCACAACTTCAGACAACTCCTGAACTCCGTGCACTGACATTTTCAACACACGTAGATACACACCCTTTTCCACTTCTATACACAGGCAAAAAAAAGAGGGAAAAAGACACATTTACTTGCGTCACCATCATCGCACCTCACCTCCTCCTCCCGCAGTTCGTTCACTAGCATTTATTTTCTTCTTGACTGTACTGTTCGTTGACCCTCAAATTTATGAGTGAGAGATACGCTTCAATATAGCACGCTGCCGCGAGAGATCAATCTGAAGTCGCGAGGCCGCACCCGCTGCAAGTGTTGGATCAGCCTGCGTGGGGACCCATCGCGCCGCCGTGTTCACCGATGCCTTCGCCTTAGCGGCCCCATGCATTTCGACCTCCTGTCGAAGTCGGTCATGTGTTGCACCCACTTCGGCCGCACGGAGTTGCAAATCCTCAAAGCGACGCAACAGTTCGTTTTTATCCGCTTCAAAGGCCTCACGTTCCTTTCGAAGTGCCTCGCGTTCGGCCAAGGCCTCGTCCAAAAGGCGCTTCTGTTCACATCGCATCTCTTTGACAGCTAAACGGTCGTCTTCGATGTTTTCCACCTTTGCTGCGTAGGCCTCTTCCTGCGCACGCAAAGATTTAAGCACCTGCATCTCATCCGTGTTGTGGCGCTCCCGCAACATGGCAGCCTCTGTGCGTTCCCGAGCAATTGCCATTCTTTCCTCTTGAAGCTCAGAAATAGCCTGGAGCTTTTTCGCCATAAATTCCTCGTACTGCTGCTCAAAGGTCTTTCTTTCCTGGGAAACCTCGTAGAGCATCATTTTTCGATCCTTCTCCAATTGCTGTCGTAGTGTTTCATACTTCGACTGAGTTTCCTGGCATCGGCGTCGTTCCTCGGAAGCCTCCTTGGTAAAGTTGGAGAGTGATATATCAAATTTTGCGTACAAGGAGGCAATTCGAGTGCGTTCCTTTTCCATCTCCTGCTTTGTATACTTGAGCTCCTCCAGAACTGTATCTACAAGGGCTTTTTGCTCACCGATTAACTGCTCCTTTTGTCGCAGCGCCGTTAGCCGTTCCTCGGTGAGCGCCGCATTCATCGTCTTCGTGGCCTGGATGTCAGAATGCATCTGCTCAATAATTTTTTCCAACCGTGCAGCATTTCCTGTATGGGACTCTAGCATCTGAATATGCTTCATGTGGAGTCTATCACTCTGCCCTGCTGATTCCGCATGGCGTTTTTCTATGGCGGCAAGCTCCATGCGGTGCATCTCCTCCGCATGGGCACGGTCAAGCTCAAACTGGCGACGCGCCTCCTCAATCTGACTTTCGTACTTCCGCTTCAGATCATCCAGTACGTTTTGAATAAGCGTGCAATCCCGCTCACGAGTGTTTTTGTCCTCACGATCGCGGCGTTCCCTGTCCATACGATCAAGCTCACTGCGCAGCTCCTTGTCACCCTGTAGACGTGCCTCGCGATCCTCAAGGTCACGCTTCCAACGCGCCTCACGCTCCGCCTCGTCCTTCAGAGTTTTTGCCTCTAGCAATTCACGAAAACGGGTGTCTCGATCTTCCAAGGCGTTCCAAAACTTTGCCTCGCGTTCCTCACGTTCCTTGGATTCCTTCTGCATTCGCTCCTGCCGCTCCAACTCGTCACGGCGGTCTTTGGCCTCACGTTCTTTGCGGTAGCGCTCGTCTTTAATAAGCCGCTCCTTCTCTGACGCCACAACTGAGAGGTTTAACTCGTGAAACACCTCACGAACGTCCTGTGCAAGACGCTGAAACAAACTTCTCGCCGCCTCCTCCTGTTCCAGTCGCCGCAGATGCACCGCACGTTCCCTTTCACGGAGTCGGCGGCGTTGATTCTCTGTAAGCTGCTGTCGTTCTGACACGACAGTATTCATCACGTTGTCGTCCTTACCATCACTCAGAGCTGTTGGCATCGCTATCGGTTTCATCTCTTGTTCCGCCTCTTTTGTTTTTTTCTCCTGCAGCTGCTTTAACTCCTCTATCTGGGCACGGAGTTCTTCCTGCTGCTGCTGCATAGCCCTCGCCGCCATATCCTGTTCTTGCTGCCACTGCAGCACTTGCTTCTCGTGAAGCTCACGCACCGCTTGCATCTTTTCCTCCGCAATGCGTTCTAGCCGTTTCTCTTCTTCCTCCTCCTGGGCTCGCTGCAGCTTCCCCGTTATATCAACAGACGAAGAAGCTGCCGCAGGGGCAATGTCATCGTCCTCAAAGTCATCCGAATACGGCGCTGGGGCATCATTACCATCATCATAGTCGGCAGCGGAGGTCGGCGCACTTTGTGCGCTCACCTCTCGGTGTTGTCCGGTTTTCCCCACCCCCTCCCCACGACCAGTGGCTGCCGTCTGACGCTCTGCCTTTTTGCTTCTCGTCTTTCTTTCGCTCCTTTTCTTTCTTCTTTGCATGTTTCTCCTTTTTTTCCTGCTGCTCGCCTTCACTGTATGCAGGAGCGATGTAGTCGTCAGAGTCGTCGTCGCCGAAGGCGTCGTAGGAAAACGCCCTTTTCGGTGGACGATCCAGGCTAGGTGCCCCCTTCAGCGACGACATGGCTGGCTCTTATGCTGCCCCGCCTATGAAATATATATTTAGATTGTATATATTGTATAGCCGTAATGCATGTACATGCCGTTCGTTTATGTATTTGTCCCTTTAACGTGATGCCTGCTGCTCCGTATATGGAACCACAAGCAAATGGCTGAGCCGCTCGACTCACACCGTAATTGCGTTTTCTTTCTTTTTTTCTATTCCTTGCGCCGCGGCTTCCTCAATATTCCGTGACACAACTCTTGTCTTCGTATGGCAGTATTAAGTGTTGTGTCTTTGTTTTGAAATGCACGATCGCAATTCCGACGGCACAAAAAAGAAAAAAAAAAAAGGAGGCGGATAAACCAACAAGGAAAATGCGCCAACAACGTCAACAAGAAAATAAAATAGGCACACGAGGAAGCACAACAGAGATGTGCACATGCTGATATCGTGTCACACAACAACGCTGAGACACATTTTCGCGGCACACACACTACCGCCAACTGACTAGTGGACCCTGCGCCAGCTTGGCCTAGACACACATAAAAAAAGACGGAGCGGCTCGCTACTGTCAGCAAAAAGCCACCAGCATCGCCTCATAAACTTAGCCCACTCCTAGGCGCTCGTTAAAACACAACAAAATTTATACCATACAACATCGTTCGGACAACGTAAAGGAACGCCCACCTCGCAGCTGCTCCACTGCCGCTGGCGTTGTTGTGTTTAATTGCCTTACCAAATCAATGATATATTTCTTCATCCGGCCCTCGGCAACCTCGAGATATCTCATTCACGCCACTAGAAAGGTATGCCTGAAACAGAGGAAAGAGCTCACAAATTATTCAGCAACAGCAGCATATCGCGTAGGCGCCTTAACATGGTGACAACGGCAAACAGCACGGCGCCGCGTGGTTCCGTCGGATAGAAAAAAAAAAAATCTAAGTACCTCCGGCACGTTAAACTCCCTGCGTGAAAAGAAACGTGACCCAACAGAAGGCGTAGAACTCTGACTGCATTTGGTTGGCCTCCAAATGATACCAAAGCTTTGGCTCCAGAAACTGAAAAACACCGTTCAAAATCGTGGATTGTACCCCTTGTACCGGTATCTTTAATATGATTTATGACGCAAAAAAAGTCGCCACCGAGGTAGTACGCAAGCATGGCTTTGGAGCAGAAAAAGACCTTACTCCCCAGTTGCCCACTGTCTGCCTCGTATCGTCCGCAGGCAAACGCGTACAGCAAATGCCTCACATGCTCATTCACCCATCGCACATACCCTCGTCTCTTGTTCTTGACAGCAGCGGTGTGGAGGATGCGGCGTCGTCTTTGATGCATTGGTGAGAACGTGACTCTGTGGTCTTCCCATGTCGGGGCGGGTTCTCTGCAGTTAAAACGCATAGAAGGCAGCGTGCAGGGGGCATCAACCTCCATCGCGCGGTAGCCTTGCTCTACGGCCCCCACATTCTCCCTCCCCTCGTCCAACAGACAAAAGTTTCAAACAAGTTTACGGTACTCATGCGTTTTTATTTTTGTTTTGCGATGCTTCTCCCAAAGTGGCTTCCCAGGCGAGATAAACCCCATCAGGAGTTTCCAACAAGATTAGAGCGCTGCTCCTCAGGAGAGCCGCGGAGGCACATCCAAACCAACTCCCGCGAACTAATATTGAGTCCAGAAATTACAGCTGCGTACCGGATTGCTGCCGCGTCCGTTTTGGGTGGCAAAAGAGGGCGCGTCTTCCTTACCACTTCTTCAAGCGACGAGGTGAACAAAAAATGCGGCATTCGCTCCAACTCGAGAGCTCGCTTTGTTTCTTCTGCTCTCGCCCGTTCTTCTCCGCCCACTTCCGTATCTGCGAAGACGGCTCCCAGGGAGCCCACTAACGCAAAGAAAAAGGCCAGGAGTCATACGACAGAATGACGTAAGAGAAACGCAAAGAATTGTCCCTGCACGCTCCGCATACGCACACACAGACACATACATACATCAGACGTACATGCCCCCCTGCACCGGATGTAGTCGCACAGCTCTCACTCCGGCATGGGTGACAGGGCTGCCAACGCTTGCTTCTCTTCTTCGCTGCAAAAAACAACACGAGAAATAGCAAAAATAAATAATAACATGCATTCTTCCACCCGCTGAACATTGATACACACACACACACATACATGTGCCCCAACGGCACAGGGATGTGATGTAATGAAACTTCCCTTTTGTGCGCCCGCAAGCATGGCAAACGAGCAACAACAACTAATATATGTATGAAGCACGACCAAAAAAAAAAAGATGCAAAAAACAAAGCATCCTCATCAACACACGACTCGACCCCATACAACACCCGAAAGAAAACGGCGGAGAGGCATGACGATGGTAAGTAATACAACGACCTTCGTCCACTCTCGTATCTCCTCACCACCCTTGACAATGCACACCATCCAAACAAAGCAAAAACTATGTGCGTTTTTTTTCTTTTTACTCTTCTCCCTCTCACCTACTTCTTTCCTCTTCCTCACACCTTGTCTTTCCTTATAACTACAAACAGCTGTACTGGTTCATTCTTCACTAATGCTTCTCACAGCTGCTACTCCTCACGGCATGGGGTTGATGGCATCCAACAATGACAAAACAACACGTGTGGGGGTAACCAGAGTGTCAATGATGGGATACACAAGCGCCATGCGGCCGTCCGGTAGGGCTATATACGCGCGGCGATCAATGCGGTCGCACGTATTCTCATCCTCATCATCCAGGGAGCTGCGATAGTACGACTGCCGCATGAGAATGGCGGCTGTAGCAACACCAAACATAAGCGTGGGCGCATGGTACGCCCAGCGGTGAATGCGGCTCGTGTACGTTGACGGCAAAAATAACATCCAAAAAGGTCGCTTCACCACCGCTGGCATCAGCGGCCTTGGATTCCCCATTTTATTAACACCCTGTTTCCTCCTTTGCCCGTTTTTTTTTTCTTACTGGCTTTACTAGAACCTCTTTGTTTGCTTCTATCGGTCACAACTTCCTACTGTGTTGCCAACTGCCAAATCAATCGCTTTCAGTGGAAAGAGAAGATAAAATTTAACGCCTACACTGGAAACATGTCACAGCTTCACAGTCACACAGCGAAAGCGAGTGATAAAATCATTCCCACCGCAGTATTCTTTTAAACTGTGTCTCGCACGCCACAAACTCTAGATGGGCATGCGCACACCGTTGCAGCTCCGTTCCTCCAGCATGAACGGAAAGAGGCCGTCAAGAGGAAAAACAAGAGCATCAGGCGGTTCTTGTAGCGCCTTCAACTGGAATGGCGCTAAATGGTGGTGGTCGTGGAAAACGCCACCACAAAAAGAGCTACAATAAAGAAAGCAAGGAAATAAAAACACCGAAAAGCATACCACACCTGGCTGACGTAACGGCATCGGGTCAGATGGTCTCACGGGTATCATTGGAGAAGCGCAGTAGTGCTGGTAGACGAGAGCACATGGGTGGAAGCTCCAAATATATATATATAGATTCACAGATCACGTGCATTGCCCAAGTTGACCTGGCGTAGCTTTATGTGCATCATTGACGTACACACATCCACGATGCGCCGCAAAAACATGACCGGCATCAGAAGAAATTTATTGATTCACTGCATGCGTGCAGTGGGGAGAAACCAACCACGGTGACACGTCTTTGCCAGTTTGTCAAAAAAACGCCAGAGCCACACGTAAGGAATCTGACACAATTCATGCTGCTGAGGGTAACGCAAGCCACACAGCGCAGGTAAAGCTAACTAGCAACATTCACAAACAGGCACAACCGCACAGATACGATGAACCTCAAAAAGCATTCCTGTTGTCTACACACAGAACGCAACAAGAAAAAAAGAAGGAAAAGTATTGATTATTTGTTGTTGTTGTTGCTCTTTTTCCTTCGCATCACAGAAGGTGTAAACAAACAGATAATACTCGAACACTTTGAATATACCCACACAGTGTAATTCTAACCGCTCCTTCCTTCCCACCCACGAGCGGACATGTGGCCAATGAATCCCTTCATACATCAAAATGAAACTAGGTGTGGGACTGAGGTGGGAAACAAAGGCGCACAACGAAAACCAAAATAGATAAAAGATAGAAAAAAATACATACATCGGCACAATTCTTCATACATCCGTTCTCTATGGGTTCCGAGCAAAAAACAGCTTGGTGGTTTCTTTCCCAGAGTCATTGTCACGAGTGGAGTTGGAGGCCCGTAGGTTCCATCCTTCTCCCTCCAAAGCCTCAATGATGGCAAGAAACACAGCTGACTTGTGCAGATCATTACAGAAATGCTGGCTGAGCTCCATGCGCCAGTGGTCAGGGTTGGGGTAAAAGAGAAACTTGATCGGCTCCTTAGAGGGGCTGGACGATGTAGAGACGCTGGCAGGAATGCGCTGCTCCATTACCTTGATGGTCTCCTCCCGCAAAGCCGATCCTAGGATGGTAATGACGGGAGGGTTGAAAGTGGCTGACGCACACAGGTTGGGCATTATTGCGCTTGTGCAGAATGTTCAGTTCGTTTGTGGATTCCTTTCGCTGCAGGTAAAACCAAACCAAAGCAAAATAAAAAAAAGGAGCTCAGTAAACATGCGCGGGCACAGACGCATGTACGCCGCTGAGAGTAATTCCTGCCGAGTTGTCCCTCACCCCTCCGTCACGCATTAGCGTCTCACACAGGATACAAAGTAGTAGACAGAACAAGTAAAAGAAAGAGAGAGAGTGAGCGGGATAAGGAAGGAAATAGAATAACAATAAAGAAAAGCAAAAATTACGTCAAAACAAAACAATAGTAATGGGAAAGAAGATGTGGAATCGACGATACAGGGATATTTCACACAGACAAAAAAAAAAAAAAACATTGCTGGCACTGAGGCGTAGACGTACCCACATAGCTGCTTTTTTGTTACCGCTTGGGCGTAGCGTATGGGTATGGCGACCTGGCGCGCGGTTTCGTCGTGTGGTACTCAAACAACCCACGCAAGGATGACTCAGACAAAATCCGCGTATACGCCTTTTTCCCACTTGTAAGCACGAGCGGTTCGCTGAGCTGCTCATCGCACCTATTCGCACGGGAGGCTCGTCCGGCACAGTGCTCATACAGCGGCAACTTTCGCAAAGAGGCTTCCACCCCCACAAGTTCCCGCATTATCCTTCGCTTTTGTTGCTCTCTCGCCGTCTCCAAGCGCTCCACCACCCGCCGCTCTCTCTGCTGCATGTCAAGTTGATTCTGCATCGCATGTCGTTTTCGGCGCTCTTCCTCCTCCTTCGCATGCTGTAAGCGACGCTCACGTTGTATGGTTTTCCGTTCATTCAACTTCGCGGCCTGAATGGCAGCCTCCTCCCTCTGCTGTCGTTCCCGGCTTAGTCGCTGCGCAAGGTGTCCGATCTCCTGCCGGCGGAAAGACACAATTTCGTCCTTTACCAGGCGTGTCATCTTGTCCTCCATGTCCTGCAGCATGACTTGTGTTTGGATAGTCTCGTTAAAGTCGTTACGAACCTGTTGAATTCTCTCACGAAGAGCTCGACGTTGCTGGTGGTGACGCCACAACTTCTCGTTCTTCACTTGGACTGCTTGCCCGCGTGATACGCGCAATGCCTCACTCTTGGAATGTTTGCGCTCCATATCGGCCTCAAGCTTCCTGCGCCGCAACTCGCTTCGCTCCCGCTCACTAAGCAGGTGCTCATGCGCTCGAGCAAGCCTTTGTGCGGATTGGCGCTGGTGTCCGCCCCCCAATTCCTTCTCAACAACACTGTCCAGGTGAGCCCGGTGTTGATCCACCCGCTGCCGAAAGTAATTTTTAATCATGTGGAGTTTATCCATATGATTATCGTTGCCGAGCCGAATTCAGCCGTTTCTCCTCCTTACGAACAGAAGATAACACTACATGCACCAAAAGAGCCTCCATCTGCTCTTGAAACGAGTGCTGTAGTGACATGTACTCTCCCCAGCACTTCTCCTTCACTGTGGAGCGGGCGGCATTTTCGCCTTCCATAAGGTCCAGCAATTGGGCGAGATGCAAATCGCAATTCTGAAAACGGTATTGTTCCTCCTCAACCACCCGTTTCCGCTGCAGGTCAATGTCTCGTAGAAGGTCCGTCCACGCTGCAACACGTCTCTGTAAGGTGATGCAGCGAGAACGCGTTCGCGCAAACGCCTGGACGAGGGTTGCATCTCGCTCGATATTTTCCTTCATCTTCCTATGCATCTCCACAAGTGAATTGGAGGCCACAAGAAACCCCTTCTCCGGGGTCACATGATACGTCGCCCCACAGGCATCAAGAATGGCAACTGCAGCATGGCATCTTTCAGTGTCACCTGCGTTCGCAGGAGGCAAAAGTACCCTGAAGGCGGAGACAATAAACCCGGCCTGACATGCAACATAGTGATGATGCAGTTGCCGTCGCAACGCCAAAGCAGGACGCAGTGGCAGCTCACACAACTGCCTTTCGATAAAATTGCCGTTAAATGCCACGCCGAGTTGAATACTTCCCAGCCACCAAAACATGTTTGTGTTGTCCTGCAGAACATTAAGCAAGGGTCTCACGTGAAGCAACTCTTCTGCAACGATGTTTTCTGCAACACAATTCTCCGTCTGCACCAGGAAATGCAGGATTTCTTGTGTCTCTACATCCGCATTTTCGATAAGGAATGTACGCACAGGGTTAAAGTCCGCATGATACACAGACTTCAGTTCTGCTGCGTGGTGTTTGGTGCGTGGAAACTGGTAGTGTCGCACCCCAAACGAATGTTCAAAAGCAAGCACTAGCGTACTAGCATTGAGCCTTGCATAAGCACTTTTCGTACAGTTTGCTAGTGCCGGTTCGATCTCTTCTTCCATCTGCGCCGAGCGAGCCACAGAGAGAACACCACCAAGTCCGTACAGCACCTTCAGCAGACCATAATTATCCATCGGTGTAAACAACTCCTGCAAACTCTCCGGCACACAAATCCCGGCACGTTGCCACTGTATAACCTCATGATCACTGGAACGGAGAAAAGCTTGTAGTACGTCCTCATACATGGTGGTGCAGACAATGTTCTCCAAGGCATCGGACTCTGCTGGGGGAAGCGACGGCATGACGAGCATCGTAATGGACGGCGGCGGCGGTGTCGCCTCCCCAGAGAAGTGAAGTGCCGTATTCGCTTTCTTTATCAGCGTGGCAACGAGGGCACGGTAAAGCAGCCGGGCGGCGGTCACACAAACTTCCCGGGTGGAAAATACACTTAGGCACCCGTGAAGATCCAACTGAAGAAGACAGGCAACGTTTTTGAGAGCAGAAATACTTGACAGCGTGCCATCCGCGTCAAACTCGATCTCGGTAAGATGTACAATCGCCGCTAACTGTCTAAATACTGCCTGCAGCGTGGCAACGGAGAAGCCAAGGGTTTCCGTCGCCCGCATGAAGGTGATGTATTCTTCCTGCCGAGACGCAATGAGGCCGATATCCTCAACGCTTGACTGACACACAAAACGTCGCTGGTTGTGGTTGATGTAAAGCTGTTCCCTCTCTTGTTCATTGAGTCCATACAAAATGTATGCAAATATATTAAAGTCATTGGACTCGCCAATACCAGAAACAAACAGATGATTGCATTCCAAACGAATGCCCTGCAACTCTTCCTGGGCCCCTTCGCCAACGCACACATGCGCCTGCAGGTAGCACATCTGCCGCCGTCCAGCGGTAGTGGTGAAGGCAGCAAGCAAATGCATTCCGGCTTCAATCATACTTCGCTGCACTGGCGTCGCCTCAAAGAGCGTACAACATGTGTCTAGCAAAGCTCCACAAAGACCAGGTGGCGTATTCCCACATGAGACCACAACCTGGCGTTTGTGCAAGCCCTTCCACGTGAGTGCCGCCTTGAGGGCGCTATCGCATCCCGACAATTCACTGCCACTGAAGCTACCCTCGTCCAAAAGAACAGAAAAGTTATCACCAATGTCCGTTAAGAACTTATCATTAGCGGCGCGGTAGCGAAGCAACTCCACGACAGGTGGTAAACCAACAAGTGGAGTAGGTACCATGAGTGCCGCATTTGTTTTCTGTAAGAAGATTGAGGGGTGGTTGCTCATGTGAAGCAGCAGCTGCGCATCGCCCTCCGCATCGGACAACTGTGGGATGTAAACGTCCAGTGAGGAGACCGTCTCCTCCACTGGCCCATCGCAGACACGTACATTCGCCCCGTCCAATGACGCCGCAAAACCGACACGCCACCCGGCGCTCACACTCCGATAGAATACAAGTGGCATCAAGGAGAGCCTTCCGTTTTTTGCACCTTCACTTCCTCTGCCTCTCTTTTAGCGTCTTTCTCTCTGTGCGTGTCTCACCAGTCACTTATTTCCAGTGAGAATACAAGAGCACACAAAAGTAACAAATAAAAGGAAGAAAATAAACAAAAAAAACATTTTTTTTTTTTTAACGAGGGGGGGGGGGAGGGGAGAATACAAAAATAATTAGATAACAGCGCCAACTACAAACCTAAGACAGGGGACACTCACTTGAGGCATGTGCCAGCCTGCCTAGAAGAACATCTTAAACATCACCTCAGGCACTAATGAAGTCTTTTCACTCCTTCCGCCGTTATGTTGACTTGGCAACTCTATTACATGGAAAGCCTCCAGATGTGGTCACCAAAAGGAAAGGAGTACGAAAGAGTAAGAATAAGAAGGATGAAAAACACATAAAACCATCTACGACAGAAACAAACCGACAACAATGCCGCAGACAATTGCAATTTTGCGCTCAACAGAACCGGCAATCATGGCAATTGCTGCACGGAGGGGGCGACTTTCTGGCGTATATGCGCAAACGCCCCACAAATCTTCCATAATACGTTTCCAATAAACTTCCGCGTAACCCAGTGAGGAAAGCAGCTGCGTCAGTAACAGACCGCTTACGAGGGTACGAAAGATGGTGCTAATGCCTCGTCTCACAAACCCCGCAAGAATAGCACCGCCCAACGCACTCACGGCAATCGCACTGTATCGCCTCATAACCCTTTTGCGTGAGGTCGACGACACTGGCAACACCTCCACATCTACAGCCCCAGTATTGGAGTCGGAGCCACATGTTACATCACTGTTATCCTTATTGCTACTATTGTTATCATCATCTTTATTCTCACCAACAGCAGCATCTGAGAGGCTGCAGCCTTTTTGTGACGACCTCCCCCAGCTTGAACTTGGTGAGACCACCACATCCGGCGACTGAGACTCATCTGACTCAATTGAGCCCATAAGATCTTTGAAGAAGGCACGTCTAATACGGCTAAGCCCCATTGAGACGCGCGGCGCGGGGAATGGAACGTCAGGGTCGCTCTCCACTGCCCAGTCGCCGAGATGAGACGGCAAAACATCCATAGCACCTTCCACAAAAGAAACCAAAGAATAGTGAACACTTGAATTGGATACAAAGCCAACGCACAAAAAAAAAAAAGAACAAAAACTTCTGGGCAATACAAGATTTTTCACAAAAAGCAAGGCACCAAATAATAATAATAAAAAAGGTCTTTCCCAAAGAAACGCACGCAAATACACATATAAAGGGAAGGAAGGAACTCTCACTCTGAGACGAAGCATCGCCCGTTACTCTTCACTGTGGGGTTAAGAAACACGAGAAAGACGGGCGAATCTCGCCCGTCAACAATTCTTGAACATGCAACTCAAACTCACAACGTTCCGCATTGTAGCAGACACCGTACACAGCGCAACCGTCTTCTACTCGCTGTCCCACCTTTACGCCAAAAAGACCCTCAGTAAGCCACACGGTGACGTCGTACTTGCCGTCTACTGTTGGATTTAAATACCGTGCAGGATCCTCTGGTGCATGAAGAAGAGAGCTCGTGGAGGGACCGTTATACTCCAATTTCACCTCCCCAACTGGAATCGCCCGGCATCCGTGAAACATTGGGGCTAAACATGCAGCTGGTCCACCCAATGGGTTCCAAAAAGGAACAGGGCACCCAAAAGATTCATCGGGCGCAATGCCCACCATGACTGCTGCACCGTAGCGACAAAGCATCTTCATCCCATGCCTGATGTGATGACCAAAAAGTGTACAAGCCTCGTGCGTAATGTCAAAGTAATGCTTTGAGGCATGTGTGCCTCCACAATGATACGGAAAAGAGAGTTCTAGGGCCTTATCATTAATACGACTACCAATCTTAAGCAACACTTCCACGCCGCGAAGCGATGCCAACCGTCTTCGTGAGACTGATAGTAATTGATCTAGCACCTTCAACTCTCGAATCCCGTTCCCCACTGCCTCTGTCGCACAGAATAGAGCCAACTGCTCACCTTCCTCCGTAGCTGACGTTATGCCCTCTCGTTTTGGACTGAACAAGTGCCTGTGACGCCCCAACTCATCCATGGACACAGGGAATGCACCAGGAAGGCCCGCAACATGAACCAGCACCACCTGGTCACCATGCTCCTTACAGGAACCAAGAAATGTCATGGGTATAGTCAGACCTTCGCCTGCATGATAGATGCATTGAAATCCGGTCATGTCTGAAGCAATCGGCCGCGGCGACGATGCACACTGAGACGAACCAAAGATATATTGACGGGCCGCCTCAGCGGCAGCTACCCGCACTTCGGTAAGACGTGCGGGCTTTCCCAGAGCACGAAGAAGCGGAAATACCGGACTCATCCGGAAGAGAGCTGATACAACACAAAAACTGGTACAATTGCAAAAAAAAAAAAAATGCGCAAAAATTATTTAGTGTACCTCTTCACTCTTCTTTCATATCCAACTGCAGGTTGCGTTGACCTCGTAGAAGAGAGAAAATAAACACAATCAACCAAAGCAGAAAAAAAGCAAAGAGCTGCTGAATTTCTGAAGGTGGCGTGAACAAACCTTAAAAATAATGAGAATCGAAAAAAAAAAAACTAAAGAGGAAAGCTCGCCCCCAAGCTAGCTGCAGGGGATGCTCACTACATAGGGGAATACGGCACCGCGCTGGTGAGAACAACTTAGATAGACTCCCTGGAAGCACACACATACTTCGCGTTTTGCCCATGTATAACATTGAATGACCACCCAACTACCTCATGTTTTTTTTTTTAGATTCTTCACTTCCTCGTTCTTCTACGTGGAACAGCGGCGAGATATAAAAGGGCAACCGCAAAACTGAAAAAAAAAAAGTAAGAAGAACAACGCGTGAGTGCATCAAAAAAAAAAAAACGATAGAAAAAAAAAATTAACAACGTAGAAAAAAAAGTTTTTTTTTAAAGAAAAAAAAAAGAAAAACACCCACTACCTCTCTGTTTCTTCATCTTCCCAGGGAAGTACGGCTTCAAACACGGTGGTATCTTCGATGTCTCCTCCACTTGTTTCGGCCCTCAGTGGCGCTTCTTCATGCACCCCAGTAGGCACCTTTTCCAGGCATTCAGAAGGGTTTTTGCTCGACAGGGACGCGTACGCCTCAAGTTTTACGCGTAGTTGATCGTTCATTTTCACAAGCTGCGCAAAGAGCGAACCGTGATCAGGGCAGATAATGCTGTTCACAAGTTTTTTCTGCTGCAACCTCAATTCACCCATGAGACGACCTAGTTTCTTCTTGTGGTATTTGCAGCTCTCTGATACAGAGTCCCCAAGTTCTGTGGTTTCCCGCTTGCTGATGAGGTTGGTGAGCAGCTGAAGGTTACTCGACGCCAATTCCAGTTCGTTCTTTACTGTTGATATTTGCTCCTCCAGCCATGCCGTCATCTCTCGTCTACAATTCAGCCTCTCTCGCAATTGCTGCCAGTGCGTCGCGGTATTTGGGACACCAACGTTCCTCTTACGCAATGCACCCGTTGTATCGAGTGGATTTGGCTCCGTTGACACAACTTCCATCACATCCAGCATCTGATTTGAATTGCAACACAATCGAAAGAGGTAAAGGCGCCAGCAAAGGTTCACCCAGTACTTCTCGTCTGAGACGTGGCGAGGCACCAACGAGGATCGAAACTCATGCTTCTCGGGCGAAGACATCAGCCACTCGACCACCTCTTGCGACGGTTCACAGTCACCGACCACTGGTGGTTCCGGCAAATTTGCGATAGACTCGACATTCAGCAATCCGCATAACTTTGACGCAAGTGACACGTCTTCCAAGATTGTTTTGGGTGGAATAATGCAGCTGTTCTCTTCCATGAGCACTGCCTCCGCCAGCAGCGTCCATTCTTCTGCGGGCGATTCCCACTGCGGTGGTGGCGCAATGAGCAGCTCTTTTGTCACATGAGTCAACACAGAAGATTGACTCTCGACGTCCCCCGCAGCGGCAACTGCCGGCGCCGTCTCAACAGTGGTGTCATTTTGTATTTCACTATCGGTACCGTTGGCGTTGCTGTCACCCTTCTCCAGATCCAGTATGCCGGTCCGCTTCACCAGCTCATAGCCCTCAACCGTGAGGATCCTCGCCCTCGCCGATGCGGTCTCCACCAACGCACTCAGTGCGCCAAACATGAACTACAGAACTCCTTTAAAAAAAAAAAACACACAATTCCTTAGGTATAATATGGGCTTTACAGCAACAAAAATAAAATAAAAAACCACAACTTGAACAAATAGCAACAAAGCAAGAGAAAAGGGCAAAGACGAATGGAACCAAAAAAGTTACGGTTAGCGTCGTATTTCGTATATTTAGTTTTCGCCCTAATCTACTATCCTCTTTCTTGTCGTTGATGCATTGGAGATCGAAAAGTGCAAACAGCAGAACGCTCATTAACCCACTTCTGCTTTTCGCTTTTGTTTTTCTATTTTTTTTTTTTTCCTTTGGGGTCGGTAGGCCGCTTTTCGTTCTACAGCACTCATTCAGTAAGACAAATACCACCCGCCAAAACTGCCTCTCCCGCATAATGCAGCCTTCAACAGAAACTCGATAAATTGAAAACACACAAAAAAGGCAGGTCGCAAGTCACCAAGCAGAACGCCCACCCAAATAAAATCCTATCGCCCACCCCCCTCACCTTTCCTTCCCTTTCTCCTCGCATGGACAACGGGCACCACAAGAAAATAAAAAGTCTGGCCCCTTCCTCTCAAATTTCAGTTCAAACGTGATTAATTCCCTAACACGCAAACAGCAAACAATTACTACATAAAAAAAATAATGAGTGCTGTGATAGCCGGGCTCTCGCTGAAAACTCATGAAGTGACAGTCTTTGATGCCCCCGCAACCACGGGATTCCCCTCTGTGTGGAAGGCATCAGTGGCCGTGGTCGTCGTGGTGGTGGCGGTTGGACTGGGAGGACACAGAAATAGCTGCACTCACACCGCCTCCCGAACGCAGCATCGTTAGAAACAGAAAAGTTCGTAATCAGTAAAGAAATGTGGAAAAAGCAAGTGACTTGGTATCATTTTTACTTGGCCCATACCAAATGTCGAAGATGAAACCACGAACAATAGACCTTAGGCCAGGTATCTGGCCCCAGTAATGAAGCCTGCAGCAAATGCACCCGCGTCACCAAGTCCTTTGCTGGCAAATTTGATAAAGCGATCAAAATAAACCTTAAGATCCTTTCCATCCACTTTACCGTCAGCATTGGCGTCGATCACCTGGTTGAGGTCGCTCTCCACTTTTTTCCAATTGATTTGGATGTAACCCAAGTAGCTGAGGCTCTGGAGCGCAACGACGGCAAGTCCAGCACCGTACAAGGCGTCTTGCGTGAGACGCTTGGCGGCAACTCCAACGGCCACGCCAATCATTCCACTCACGCTCATCCCCTTTGACAATTGTCGAAGCGCAGGTATTGTTTTTGAGACAACTTTCTTGGCGGATTCTTCAGCCGGCATCGCTCCCTGGGTTTTCCTCGCAGTCTTGTTGGTCATGATTCAATGTGTGAAATGTTCTTTTGTAGATTATTTGAGACAAGCTTCTCGTTTTCATTTTTAGTTACAAGCAGAAATATATATATATATATATTATATAAAGGAGGAGGAGGAGCCTTATGCAGACGTCAAAACAAACGTTTACCCATTATCATCGCCCAACGATGGCACGCGCAACAAACAAGATAAAATCAAGTACGGCATCCATGACTGGGCGCAAAGGACATGTTTTGCGCAAATGTGTGCAGGGGACACGGCAATTCCAGAGAAATGCCAAGAAACAAAAACACAAACAAAACAAAGCAAAACCAAAAAAAGGCAACACATGAGGTTTACACACTAAGAGGCGTAGAATAAAAGAAAAAGGGTGGGTGAGAAATAGTTTCCTCCGACACTCTTATTTCACCCTCCTAGTGATGGTCAGCCATATTATTTATACGCTGCTGCAAATTCACGCTACGCTATTTGCTGTTGAAGATACTTAAGTACGATGGCCTTCGCCGCTGCACTAGCATCCCGGGTTGCACTGCGAACGACAAGTCGGTC